GCTTGGCGGGTAACTCCTAATACTGAAACAAGCTCTTCTTGCGTTTGGCACGGATCCTCATCGAGCAATGCCTCCAATGCAGCGTCTTCGAAGGTTTTTGGCTTTCCTTCACGCGGACGGTCGTCAACATCGAAATCACCGTCTTTGAAGCGACGGAACCAATCTCGGCACGTTGTTTCACTTAGAGCAGCATCTCCGTAAACTTTTTGGAGCTCTCGATGCGCTTCAGCCGCCGTTTTCTTCGAATGAAAGAAGAAAATCAATACTTCCCGCATATGACGATTATTTGGCACAAAATCAGACATTTTCACACAACCAAAAGAATATAACGTCAAAACAAAATCACTAATGTGTCGAAGCGGTTTGTTTACCATATGTCTAAGCTTGGTTCATGACGTTTAGATTATGTCAGAATCGACCAGCACTTACTGCTGGAACCATCTATTGACAAACAGCGGGAACTTAGTTGCGCACCTAATACATGATATTAAGAGCCGATAGGAGCTCATTACGTTAACAATTGATTTTACAAGTACTTCGAATCACGCTAGAACGCGTAGATTAATAATTATAAATTTAATACAGGTTCGCAAGAGCTGTTGGTAGCTCATTACCTTTTGTTTTCATTTTAATTATTTTCTCACACGCCAAGGAGCGTCATATAAATTACGCGAACTTGTTTAAAAAAAATCCAAGGCTTAGTAAAGCTTGTTGGAAGCTTTAAGTAGCTCACGATTCTATCAAATTCACACCGCGAGACATTGACAATTCGCAGGGAATATTATCCTTTGATTGAATTCAGAGGAGGTATTAAATACCCCTGCCTATTAGAAGCACCGTAGTTTATCTACGAAATTTTAAAACTTCCTTAAGACATTTAGAGATACAATATCTCGTGTCTACTGGAGATGCGGGATAATTGAGACTCGAAGTGGGCTTCATGAAGTCGGATACAGGTAAGATTTAGTTGTAGCTTCGCGTAGAAATTTCCTAAAGATAAGTGTTCTGCGTGAACCATGAGAAAAAGCGATCAGAAGCTCTCGCCGTAAGGGAGAACGCCGTAGATATTTTATATTTAATTTCCATATTTTATACTTACCTTATTATTTCGTTAAATTACTTATCCGTAGCTTATAAGCTCTATGTGAGCCCGAGTTATTGATTAATTTAAGTTGTAAGGGACTTACGATTACCGACACCCTTTCGAAGTTAGTTTGACTCAAAGCCATTCGAGGCGCTGTAGAAACCGCGAGGCTCACGCCACCCGTGAGCCGTGTGATTGGGTTAGACGCAACCAGGGAATCATTCTGCTTGCTGGTTGGTCGCTTGAGATATTTTCGAACTCAGAGTTAACGGACTCTACTGGTCTCTACAGAGTCGCGGAGAGACCTCCATAGAAGAGCAATAAAAGGCCTGTTAAACCAAGTGTGTGTACCTTCTTTATATCCTGACAAATCCAATTCCTACATCATCCTTTCTCAAAATAAAGGCCTTACAGAATTTCAGAAGTGGGATACACCCACGGTTTATGGACACGAGCTATCCCGCGACCGCGTGTGCAACGGTCCGCGTTCGTCGGCCATCAAGGCCTATCGCGCTGTTTAACGCTATCCCGTGACCGCGCGAGTAACGGTCTGCGTTCGGCGGCCACCAACCAAGGCCGACCGTGCTGTCTGGCGAAATCCCACGTTCGAACAATATTTCGCGCGCGTCTCTGATTGTTAACTAGGTGCGACCGACGGGTGCCGAGTCCATCGGTGTTCGTATAGTAACACTTGCATCGTGCCTGAGTCCTGCGGTTATAGTGTTTCAGTGAAGTGAGGTGTCTCCTTCGGACAATGGAGCGCCAGAAACTGGAAGCAATGAAATACGAATAATTAAGAGATAAACTAATCAGTTTGGGCTTGCCAGTTACAAGTTCGCGCGAGGAGTGCCTAAACCGACTCTTGACTCATCTCGGACTCAGTGAAGAGAATGTTGTTCCGGCCGGTACCAGTGAGCAGGCGGCTGCAGTAGAATCAGTGTCTGCTACCGATCAAGCCATTCAAGGCCTTACTCACATAATGCGAGAAATGTCAGTGCAACTACAGATTCTCACGCGTCAGCAAACTTTATTTATGCGGTCCACAGAGGATCGAGGAAGTCCAACTAATCTGGACGCAAATGATCCAGGTCTCTCAGGGCAGACGTCTCAACCACTAAGAACTCTGCATCACTGCCTGCATCCGTCACTCCCTCCACTTCTGACGGAGGAACTGGCAACATCAGAAGCATGCCAACACTAGCAGCAGTTCCAACGGCACAGGCTATTACAGTATTAGCTTCGCAAATCCCCGCGTTCGACGGATCCGAAGATGAAGATGTCGAATCATGGATACACCGAGTTGATCTGATCGCCAATACCCATGGCGTCAGTGACGGTGTCACTTTGCTCGCAGCCTCTAGTACTAGGTGTACAAATAAGTTTCCGGGTTTCACACATGGATGGCGCCAACGACACATGTAGTCGACATACATGTCTGAAGTTGTTTATTTTTTATAGCTGCGACATCTGACGACAATAATCAATCAAAATATTTCCAGTTTCGCGACGAAAAAAAATTTTTATGCAACAGTGAAAATGTCGGGTTTTGTGCCAAAAAAACAGCATTCGCGGGAAGTCTTGCTTTTCTGCTTTCACTTGGGCAAAAATGCAGCTGAAGCACGTCGTTTGCTTGAGGAGGCTTACGGTGAACATGCACCATCGAAAACAACCTGTGAAGATTGGTTTAAACGCTTTAGAAGTGGCGATTTCGACACTGCGGACAAAGAGCGCTCCGGAAGACTGAAAACAATCGAGGACGCCGATCTGCAAGCGTTGTTGGATGAAGATGACACGCAAACTCAAAAACAACTTGCAGAGGTGTTAAACACGTCTCAACAAAGCATTTCCATACATTTACGGCCAGAATGGAACACAAGACATGAGCGAGTGATTTTGCAGCAGGACAATGCACCGTGCCATCGCACTTCCATCGTCAAGGACACCATCAAAACGCTGAAATGGGATCTGTTACCACACCCGCCGTATTTACCAGATCTGGCGCCATCTGATTACCACTTGTTCCGGTCGATGGCGCATGACTTGGCTGGACTACACTTGGCCAGTTTCGAAGAAGTGCGAAATTGGATAGATGAATGGTTTCGGACCAAAAACGAGTCGTTCTATCGTCGCGGTATTCATGCATTGCAAGAGAGATGGCGAAAATGTATAGCTAGCGAGGGACGATACTTTGAATAAGCCGCTTTTTGTTTTTTCTTGAAATTTTGCATTTTTCATTGATCAAAAAAGCCCGGAAACTTATTTGTACACCTAGTAAGTTGCTTAAGCAAAAGATTGGTTTCATATGGAGGAAAAACCTTCAAATCATTCATGGCTCTCCTTCAAGGAAGCTATTCAAAAACGTTTCAAGCGACGTATTCCTTTTCATCTCGCTATGCAAAATGTGGAAGCGAGAAAATGGAACTTCGATAAGGAATCGTTCCTGGAATACGCTATGCATAAACTGAAACTGTTACATACTCTGAAACTACCCGAACGAGAAAGAGTGCAACTAATCATAAATGGCATAAATAGTGCATCTCTCTGAGCAACAGCCACCGCATTGAATGCAGCTACCATCGATGATTTCCTGGATAGAATGTTTGAGATAACGAGTTCCTTTGGAAGTTTTTCCAAAAAAACATCACCCTTGTCGAAGAAGACGGAGAAGTTTAAAAGCTCTCCGCCGTCACCTTCCAAGAAGGATCAAGCAAAGACTGACAAGGATGGGATCTGTAGTTACTGCAAGGCTAAGGGTCATAGCAAGACGAATTGTTTCAATCTGAAGAAAAAGGAGACTTCGCCGATTATCACACCTGCTTCGACCTCCGTAGCAGCAGCCGAGGAAATCCAGCCTAGGGCATCGAAAGAATCGTCCGTTATTGCCAGCGTTGAGGAAGATTCGTCACGAGAGTTGAGGATAAACCATTCGGTAACACAAGTTCGGGTCATAAATGGCCTAGTTTGTGAGTTCCCTGCGTTATTGGATACCAGGGATCTCCAGTTTCATTTGTACGAAATTCAGTTATCAGTCAAGCCCTTGGGATAAATGTAGAATATACTAGAAATGAATTAGATTCATACTGCACTATTGCTGACAGTAAAATTAACGTCATTGGCACAGGAAATGCTAATATTACGCTAGATGTGTTGCCAGGTGTAATTACTCGAGTTAAACTCAAAGTCATAGACAGTTTGTCCGGACAAATTCCTATTATTTTAGGTAGAGACTTTTTTGCTACGAATAATTTGACGTTAGTCTACAAACCTTCTGCTGTCGAGTTCGAGAATCGAGTTCGACTTTTTAATGAAGTAGCATCAGTTCAAATCTCTGAAGTCATGAATGACGAGGGAGTCGAAACGTCGAATCTAATAACTGATTTCGGTTTGCAAGTCGACCGAAGGTTGTATGAATTAATTATGGAAACTCAGAATGCTCCTATTGAATTAATTAAGGATGATTATAACGTAAAAGTGAAACTAAAAGACGAATCAATTTATGCGTATGCATCACGTAGGTTTGCGTTTACGGAACGTATAGAATTAAGAAAAATGACCGATGACCTACTAGCCCGCAATATAATTCAGTCTAGTACTTCTCCATATTGCGCTCGCGTTGTTCTCGTGAGAATGGTGATCGTAGACTTTGCGTGGATTTAAGACCACTCAACGATCGAGTGATCAAACAAAAATATCCTTTTCCAGTGATAGAGAATCATCTGGCTAGACTCGGCAATAAAAGAGTTTTCACTTTACTAGATTTGAAGGATGGATTTCATCTAATAACTATCCATCCCGAGAGTACTAAATATTTTGCTTTCGCCACACCAGATGGGCAATTCGAATATTTGCGTTTACCCTTTGAGTATAGTGAAGCTCCCGCCGAATTTCAAAAAAGAATCAATTATATTCTACAATCATTAATTCGTATAGACAAAGTCTTAGTCTACATGGATGACATCCTCATTCCCTCGACAACAGTTGAAGAAAACTTAGAGATCCTCTAGCAAGTAATGCAATTACTTAAGCGATACGAGTTTGCGATTAATTATAATAAATGTAAGTTTCTTAAACACTCCGTAGAATATTTAGGATACGTGATATCTGAGGCGGGTGTTACTCTTAGTGATCGACATGTTGAAGCGGTAAAACGTTTCCCGATGCCTACCTCGGTAGTGCAAGTACAAAGATTTTTAGGATTAGTAAATTACTTCCGAAGGTTTGTCGCAGATTTCGCAATTAAAGCCAAACCACTTCATCGTCTGTTGAAGAAAAATGTTGAATTCCAATTTGATGATAACTGTATGAAATCTTTTGAGGAATTAAAGTCGGAACTCATGTCTTATCCGGTACTAAGACTTTACAAACCAAATTTACCTACTGAGCTTC